CACCCCCACAGCGACTCACCCCACCCCCGCAGCCACTCACACCTGCTTACACACTCACACCGCTCACACTGTGTTCCCACCACCATGCAGACTTTCTAGCTCACACCCGCTTGCACACTCACAGCCAACCCCCCACCGTCACAGATACTCAACCCCCCCAGAGCCACTCCCTATTCCTGCCCCCTCACACCCGCTTGCACATTCATGGCCCAAGGCCCCAACCTGCTCACTCACACTCAGTTCCCCACCAGCCACTCACCCTCCGCCCCCTGGCGGCCGCTCACGCTTCCCGCTGCCCCGCCTTCACTCACACAAGAGTGCTCACGAGCCCATCATTCACTCCCCCTTAACACTAGCATTCACACCCGCCTGGATCATTCACTTGGCTCCCCTCGTGCCTTCACACGCCCTGCCCCAGCCTTCACACGCATTCCCCTTTCCACGCCTGCTAGTGAGCGCTCATCTGTTTCCTCGCCCCTCTGCTCCTCCCTCGCGCCCACTTGCCCTCTCGTCTCAGCTCCACACCCCCTCAGAGCCGACACACCTCCCCCGCGCCAGTCCGTTGTTCAAAGCGCAAACCCCAGTGGGTCTTAAGGCTCAGGCCTGGTGAGTTGGCTACCGGCTGGACTGGGTTACCAGGGGCAGCGTGAGCTCAGAGGGGACGGACTGGGAGTACCAGGAGGCCCTGCTGACCTATAGCCCCAAGCAATGTCCCAGCTTAGAGGGCGAGGAGCAAATAACTCTAGGAGCGGGAGTGATAAAAGCTGGGGGTGATTGCTTTTTGAGTCTGGAGGCTGAACCGAAAAATCTGGGGGCAGGGAGAATGGTTTGACTCAAACCAAAGCAGAATTACTTGGGGTTTTCTTGCTGAAATGAGGAACCGACAACAAAAAAATCGAGTCACACAAAACGTTACGCTTGACCCCCGCCCCGGCGACATGATTTTTCACTTTGTTTCAGACGGTTTCCTAGGGAGGTGTTTTTCATCTCTCGCTCATTAGCTAAATAACAAACTGTTCCAACGTTTCAAAAAAAAGCTTTTTTCTGACACACTATTTGCTGAATCCAATCCAAATTCACGAGCAGTTTTGTGGACCCGAAGACTGTATTTTGGGGAATTTGCTGCGAATCACACACTGGCTAAGGAGACAATGTCCCATCCCAGGGATTGTTTCCCCTGAAGGATAACAGCCTACTACTGCTATTTGGAAAAAGAAAAAGCACCCATCCTAACCTCAGCCTAGGTCGGCAACGTGACACTGTTGCGAACAACATATGCAGTCATTGGTTGCCTTGCAGGAGGCATAGCATGCCAGGCCCAGGAGGTGACGTGTCTCTCTGCTCAGCGGTGGCTAGACCTCAGCTGGAGTAGCATGTCCCGTTTTGGCCAGAGACACTGGAAAGGATCCAGAAGTGAGTAACAAAGAGGATCCAAGGGATGATGCAGCCATAGGAGCAAAGGCGGGAGGAACTGGGTGTGTTGTGTTTGGAAGGGGGGAGATGAAGGGGGAGACTTGAGAACAGGCTGCCATACTAAAGAAGAAAAGTTGTTCTGTCTCGCCACAGAGGACAGGACAAGAGGCAACCGGGTCAAACTCCAGCAGAGCAGATTTAGATTAAATTTCAGGAAAAACCTCCTAACTGTGCAATCAGGAGGCAATGGAACAAGGGCCTGGAGAAGCTATGGAATCCCATTCACTGGAGGGTTTCAGAAGGAGGCAGGAGAGCCAGCTGTCTGGGATGGGGTGGACACAACAAATCCTGAATCCAGGCAGGGGTCAGACTCAATGACCCTGGCAGTGCCCCTTAGCTCTATGGGGCTAGGACTGGGATTCTGGGATTCAGATCTGCTTTGGAACGCTCCAAACTGCAGGCCTGCAGGCCCATGACTGGGCTGGAGTAGCCCCCACACCGCAGACAGCCCCACGGGACGCTGCCTGCTCCCAGCCCACACAGGGCCAGGGGGGCATGGGGCAGGGAGGGGGGCTGCTCCTGGGTAATGGTTAACCCATTCAGGGTGATGCTTAGCAGGTAGCCGGTTACCCATCCACATCCCTCGTGGCCACCTGGAAAGCCAGGCTCTAGGGACTCGCCTTTCCACGTGGCCTAGCACTGCGTGGCCAGACAAGAACGGGTGGAGGAAGGCGGCACGTCAGTCGGTGGAGGGAGCCAGGCACTCAGAGGGCCGGTGACTCCCGATTCCCACAGATCCCTGCTGCCGAGCAGGACGGGTTCAGCTGATGCGAGTCACCCGGAATGATCCACCTCGCTGTGGCTTCCGAAAATACATCCGTGGAATGTATCGTCTGCGCCTTGCGTTTCTTACTCCCCCGCCAGTGGGCGTGGGATCCAAGGTTCTTATTATTGTCTAGCACTGGCTGAGCGCCCGCAGAGAGCACAGTGCTTGGAAAACGCCTAGGCAATCATGCCCCCAGCCTCTAGAGTAGGGGTGGCTAATCCGTGGCTCACGCGCCACATATGGCTCTTCACCCCTGAAAGCGCCCCACGCACCCCTACAAATGCCCCCTGGCTCCCTGTGCTCACTGGGTGCAGGGGAGCAAGGAAGCCGCTTAGTGCAGCAAAATGGCATCAGCAAGATGGTGGTGACTGGCGGGAGCCTGATGTGGCCTAAAAGCCTACCCACGATTTTTAAAGGGGCAGCGTCCTTTTTTTTTTTTTTTTTTGCTCAACGACTCTGGCTGGTGGGGAGCTCTTCCTTTTTTTGCTCAACAATTCTGGTGTGGCTCTTCACTTTTTTTCCGCCGCTGCCCTAGAGCCTTACAATCCAAATAAGATGATGGGAGACTCTGCTGTCTTTGACAACGGCCAATGGTTCATGCTTCTGACCCAAGGAAATTCCTTTGTCCCTCAGGGAAAGGAAGGTGTATTTCTTGTTGATTTCAGGTGGTGATCCGTCTGTGCCGGGAAGCATGAGGGTGGTTGGCCCTGGTCATTGTTATCCTTGTCAAAAGCTGTTCTTCATTATGTAAATGCTCAGGGTTTTATTTGAATGTAGCTAAACTAACAGCAATTAGCAAGAGTGGGTTCTGCAGGCTAATTATATGCCAGGCAAGGAAGGTGTTTGAGGCAATTTTTAAGGAAATATCAGCAGATGTGACCTATATCATTGAGGTGAGTAATACACTGGCTAAGGGGGTGGTGACCCATTTCAGGCACTGGTCTGTCTAGAGGATAACAGCCTTCTACTGCTACCAGGTACTGGAGTCTCTCCCTTAGCTGAAGTGAAGGGGGGGTGGAAGGTGTGCAGCTGATGACTTCCAGATGAGCTTGGTCTAGCTGATCGTTTGCCTCTGCCCTCGTTAGGGGATTTCCTACCTGTTCCCATGAGGGGCTAGTGAAGCCCTCTCACGTGGAACTTTGCAGTTTAATCCTCAGTGCTGCTATCCCTAGTCAGATCTGGATCTGGATCAGGTGTGAACCTCCTCCAGGGGGGCCCATCCTGAGGTTTTCTGCGGGGGATACAGGCCATGCAAGCTTCCAGGACAGTTGGTGAGCCCCAAGAGCCCAGCTGTTTCCTCCCCAGTCGGCCCTTGGTAATGCCCAAAGTGCACTGGTCATCCCGACACTATGCTCCTTCTGAACGGGTTAGTGACCTACCTTCATATTTATACACGGGTTTGTTCAAGGGGTCAGCCAGGAAGCAGGAGCAGAACAAGGAGACGAGGGGGAGCTCCTTCATCTTCTCTTTGTACGCTGCGAAAACACCATCGTGAGAGTCACTCGCCACAGCCCCGGCTGATGGCCAGAGAACCCTGCCTGCTCTGACGCACTTCCCCTGCCCCAACACAAAGCCTCCTCTCCCAACCAAAATGCAGCCACCTCTGGGGTGGAGCAGCGGCAGCTCACGGGTGCACAGCAGCACTGCAGAGCAGCGGGAAGCTTGAAGAGAAGCACCCCACGGCCAAACCCTCCTTCTCTGTTTCAAAGGGATGAACCGGTCCATGGGAGGGCAGGTATTCCAAACCCAGTGCACTATGCCATCCCCTCCAGCAGTCAAATCGGGGGGTGGAGCACTAGGGACAGTGGCTGAGATAGGTTCCCCAGGCTGCTGAGTTTTATGCCACTCCTCACTTTTCACACCCCATCATGGCTATCACACCTGTTAGCCTCAGCCCCTAAGGACAGGCAAGTATCGCTCTCCCGGGGGAAACTGAGGCACGGCATGGCCGGTTGTCCCCTGTTGGAATCGTAGCAGCAAAGCTGGGTCTGCTGAGCTCTGCTGGGGTGTAGCAAAAGCCCAGGGCTGCACCTCGGGGTCAGGAGAAGCTGGAACCTAATTGCAGGGTGCTGAGCGGTGGCAGTGGTAGGGAGAGCAGGAGGCGATGAGACAGCAAGGAGCCATGCCAGGCGCCACCCAGCCCGCCTGCTGCTGCCCCCTAGGAGACGCAGGGAGTGTGGGCACTGCCCGTGGGTGCGCCAGTCTATGTGCATGTCCTCAGGGTGGGAGGTCGGGCCCATCTCCCTCAGGGCCACCTCCCATATCTGAGCTGCAGGGGCCAGTTTCACCAGGTGACTCTGGACACTGAAAGGGAATGGGGGGAAGGGGAGTGGGAACAATTCTGGGCACCTGCCAGGGCCAGGCACCTGGAGGGGTGAGGGTGCAGCCAGGGGCATCTCCCGCTGCCTGGCATGTGACTGCCCATCCCTAGCAAAGGGGTCAGGGCCAGACACCAGCTTCACTAAGGGGTGGAGCAAGACGCCACGGCTGGGCACGTCCGGACACTGAAAGGGAATGGGGGGAAGGGGAGTGGGAACAATTCTGGGCACCTGCCAGGGCCAGGCACCTGGAGGGGTGAGGGTGCAGCCAGGGGCATCTCCCGCTGCCTGGCATGTGACTGCCCATCCCTAGCAAAGGGGTCAGGGCCAGACACCAGCTTCACTAAGGGGTGGAGCAAGACGCCACGGCTGGGCACGTCCGTACCGGCCAGAGTCATGGTGCTCGAGGTCCTTCGGCAGGCAGGGAACGGAGCGTGGCTGGCAGCTTCCTCGGTGCCTGGGGAAGCAAAGAGAGGAGATGGTGAGGGCTCAGCAGGGCTCCGGTTAACCCTTCGGGGGCGCTGCTCCAGGCAAACAGGGTGCTTCTCCCGGCCGGTGTAACCACACACCTACGGGGTGCGGTTCGCAGTCCCATGGGGCGGCACTCAAACCACTTACAGAGAGAGAGAAGGGGCCTGCCCTACAGCCTTAGCTGAGCACCAGTTGGCTTCTAGCCCAAGAGGTTGGGTTCATGCATGAAGTTCCAGAAGTCCCTGATTCAATTCCCCCTGCTGGTATAACACCGGCACCCTCTAATACAGAGCTGGGATGTAGCAGGCTGTGCCTACTACCTCTTGCCAACCTTCACATGGGTAACAGGGCCCTTTCTGTGGCTACCAGCAGCTTCCAGCCTATTTCCCCAAAGACAGGGTAGCTTTGGGATACACCCTATTCTCCCCATGGCCACAAGCTGCACATGCACACAACTGGAGCCACACAAGCTGGCTTCAAGCACTATCGTGAATACAGCTCACATGCATTGCCACTTGGAGTGGAATACATCATCACATGCAGACACAGCTGTCTGGCCAAAATGCACATGGGTGCATATGCACACACATCCATCCAGACAGCCTTATGTGTCCACCCCCCTGGCCTGCACCTCTCTGCACAGCCCCATGGATTTCACAAGTATCTAGGTTGTAACCCCTCTGCTGTGCAGAAAACCTCCCATACCAAGGACACTCAGTCCTTCTGGTTGTTTTATTGTTTTACCTCCACTCGTCCACACACTTTTATTTGGCAAAATACCATGTTCTCGCGCACTCCCACCCAGTGAAATCCACTGCTGACACAAACACCTCCATATCCACAAACACCCCCCCCTTGTGCTCTCTGCATCCTACCCACCCACGCAACACATCCAGACCCCCACAGGTGGCCCCCTGGGCTCACCACCAGCCCACACCCTGCTCTCCCCCATCACAACCCCAGCATTTCTACAGTGATGTCTTTAAACAGAATTCAACCCCTCCGGCACCCAGGTGCCTCGCTCACGTCAGTCCCAGAGCCAACCAGCCGCACTGCCAGACCAGACAGGGCCCAAGAGGCCCCCGGGGATCTCAGGACACAGAAACAGTTTGCCAGGGAGAGAACCCAGGAGTCCGGTGTTGTCACCGCTAGATCCTCCCGGCTATAAACACCACTGCTCATGGAGCAGCCTCTCTAACCGGCTGTGCCCACTGCAAGCCTCGGGGGCCCTGTAGAGGAGACCCAGGGGGGAAGGCTGGTCTGAATCCTCACCACAGGTGCAGCCTCACGATGCCGGGCCAGGCCTGCTTGAGGGATTGCTGGAGAGGGGAATCCCCTACGGCAGGGCTCTCCGGCCCCTGGGCTGGGAAGCCAGATCTTAAGGGGGGGGATGGCTTGGTGAAGGCAGGTCCGGACGGCGGCAGCCCAGCTGATCCCAGGCAATCAGGCCCTGATAGCAGGTCCTGTGCCCTGTAGCCCCTCAGCGGGGGCTGGCTGGGAATTACTCCGCCCCCTTCTCCCGCTAGAGACGGTCTCACAAGGCCTTTCGGGATCAGAGGCTGATGCGGTTGCCCGGTGACCGTGTTCAATAGCAGCTTTATCCCTTGCCCCCTTCTACGCAGCCTGTCGGCTCCCCCTCCCACGGTCCAGTGCAGGGCAAGGAGACCAGGGCAGCGGGCAGATCTTCAGGGGCTCTAGGGAACACAAGGGAGGGATTGAAATAGCAACGGAGTCTTGTGTACTGCTCCGCCGATGCTCCACAATCCCAGCCCGCAGCCCCCTGCTATCCCAGGCCTGGCTCCTCACAGCTCGCTGAGCCGACACCCCTCAGTCCCGCCCCACAGCCCCCTGCTATCCCAGCCTTGGCTCCCCACAGCTCGCTGAGCCGACCCCCCTCAGTCCCGACCCACAGCCCCCTGCTATCCCAGCCTTGGCTCCCCACAGCTCGCTGAGCCGACCCCCCTCAGTCCCGACCCACAGCCCCCTGCTATCCCAGCCTTGGCTCCCCACAGCTCGCTGAGCCGACCCCCCTCAGTCCCGACCCACAGCCCCCTGCTATCCCAGCCTTGGCTCCCCACAGCTCGCTGAGCCGACCCCCCTCAGTCCCGACCCACAGCCCCCTGCTATCCCAGCCTTGGCTCCCCACAGCTCGCTGAGCCGACCCCCCTCAGTCCCGACCCACAGCCCCCTGCTATCCCAGCCTTGGCTCCCCACAGCTCGCTGAGCCGACCCCCCTCAGTCCCGACCCACAGCCCCCTGCTATCCCAGCCTTGGCTCCCCACAGCTCGCTGAGCCGACCCCCCTCAGTCCCGACCCACAGCCCCCTGCTATCCCAGCCTTGGCTCCCCACAGCTCGCTGAGCCGACCCCCCTCAGTCCCGACCCACAGCCCCCTGCTATCCCAGCCTTGGCTCCCCACAGCTCGCTGAGCCGACCCCCCTCAGTCCCGACCCACAGCCCCCTGCTATCCCAGCCTTGGCTCCCCACAGCTCGCTGAGCCGACCCCCCTCAGTCCCGACCCACAGCCCCCTGCTATCCCAGCCTTGGCTCCCCACAGCTCGCTGAGCCGACCCCCCTCAGTCCCGACCCACAGCCCCCTGCTATCCCAGCCTTGGCTCCCCACAGCTCGCTGAGCCGACCCCCCTCAGTCCCGACCCACAGCCCCCTGCTATCCCAGCCTTGGCTCCCCACAGCTCGCTGAGCCGACCCCCCTCAGTCCCGACCCACAGCCCCCTGCTATCCCAGCCTTGGCTCCCCACAGCTCGCTGAGCCGACCCCCCTCAGTCCCGACCCACAGCCCCCTGCTATCCCAGCCTTGGCTCCCCACAGCTCGCTGAGCCGACCCCCCTCAGTCCCGACCCACAGCCCCCTGCTATCCCAGCCTTGGCTCCCCACAGCTCGCTGAGCCGACCCCCCTCAGTCCCGACCCACAGCCCCCTGCTATCCCAGCCTTGGCTCCCCACAGCTCGCTGAGCCGACCCCCCTCAGTCCCGACCCACAGCCCCCTGCTATCCCAGCCTTGGCTCCCCACAGCTCGCTGAGCCGACCCCCCTCAGTCCCGACCCACAGCCCCCTGCTATCCCAGCCTTGGCTCCCCACAGCTCGCTGAGCCGACCCCCCTCAGTCCCGACCCACAGCCCCCTGCTATCCCAGCCTTGGCTCCCCACAGCTCGCTGAGCCGACCCCCCTCAGTCCCGACCCACAGCCCCCTGCTATCCCAGCCTTGGCTCCCCACAGCTCGCTGAGCCGACCCCCCTCAGTCCCGACCCACAGCCCCCTGCTATCCCAGCCCTGGCTCCCTACCCTCAATTCTGACCCACATCTGGCCATGCTATGCTAGGCCCCACCCACCCACACTGCAGACTGTCCTTTTGCGGTTACACCTGGCACTTGTCCTGCGCCGATCACACTGGCTGAGCTGTGTGTGGGGGCCCAGCGCTGGCATAACAGGGGCCAGGCTTGGGGGGCATTGGCCGAGCTGGAGCCCCGAAAGATCAGGACAGTGCAAACCAATGTTTCGGAAGCCAAGCAAAACAAAGCATACATCTTGGCCCCTGGAGCAGACAAAGCCGCTGTTCTCCCCTCTCTGCAGCGAAGGAGGAACGGCCCAAACAGAGTGCGTCCTACCGCCCGGAGCATTACATAACACCCAGGGCCCTCGGAGATGACGTGTTCAGCTCAGCCGGGCCTCGCTGGGCTGGTCAGACAAAATTCAGTCTGGCAGGTGCCGCCTGAGGGTTGCATCTTCTAGCTTCACTCACCCCCAGATTGCGACCAAGTTAACACAGGGCCCAGCCAGGTCCCTTTCCCAGGGCTGCAGAGTGGCGTGAGGTGAGCAGGAAAGGGCAGGGGAATCGTGTCCTATCTCACAGTTCTCATGAGATTCATTCCTAGCACAAAGGATCCCGCAGACCAGTGCCCGGGAGCTGGCAGCCTGGCCTGGAAAGGCCCACTCGGCTCCTGGGGCATGTGCCATGGAGCCCATCTGTCAGGGAAGTTATTTCTCCTAGAGGTCTCAGGGCACAGCAAATGTATCCGGTCCGTCTGCCCCCATGGTGGGTGCGGCCCGTGAACTCTCCCTGCCTGACACAGCCGATATCTCCTGTGTTTAGAAACCAGGGGCGTTTCCTTTCCTTCGCAGATGCCAGGACATGGCACAATTTGTTCCCAAGGCCAAGAGACGCCTCCCACTCTCTGTGGCATGTTTCACCCCTCAAAGGGGTGAATTGGCACAGGCCCTTAAAGGGAAAATGGATTGATCATGGGAAATGCTGAGAACACCTCCCGGACCTGTGTGCCCAACTTCTGTGGTGATGGGGGAAGTAAAAGAGCCTTTGACAACTGGCCAGTGATGGAAATAGAGGCACAGGCAGAGCCTAGCCACCACAGGTATTGCCTAGGGCAGGGGCTTTCAAACTTGCACCGCAGCCCCCTTCTGACAACAAAAATTACCACAGGACCCCAGGAGAGAGGGCGTGACAACTCATAGAGGCATGGTCAAACAGGATTATGTATTCGCTTCAAGACAAAGTCGATTAGGGATAGTTGCTTTTCTTAATTTCACTACGTCTCTACTATTACAGGCTGAATACTGCCAGATGGTTACATAGCTATGGCAACGTGACACATCAATAAGCACAGGCAGAGCAATGCATAAGAGAGCAATAGGCACTTAGAAATTCTTATGCCCCTTCAGTCTGCGGGGAGTCCCGTTCCTGTCACCTCGCACTAGGCCACTGTGGATGCGGCTCCAGCTGAGGGCATCCAGGGCACCCTCTAAGGTTTAGGTCCCTGGTGAGACTCACTGGGCACGGAACTCCCAGTGATCCTATACTTTAGCTGTTTACTGAGTGTCCGCGAGTTGGCCAGATGCCACTCTCAACGTTCCCATGGAGCTGAGAACTGAGGTCATGTGATTTATCCTGTACTCGGCTCTCAGCTAATAAGCATAGGGAGTTGCAGTTCATGAAGGCCGTCTGATAAAGAACACCTGGTATTTTCACCAGCAGGGCTCATGGCTGACCTAGACGAATACAAATGTAACCGCTGCAGGCCTACATATGGCTTTTTATGTGACAGGGCGGAGGGCTGAAGCTGCTGGAGCCTTGCTGCCCCAGGACTCCACTACTCCATGTGCTAGGGGGAGGGGGACTGAAGCCCAAATTCTCCTTCAGCCCCAGGCAAGGGCATGTAACCTGAGCCCCAGACTGGTGGTAGGGCTTGGGCTTCAGCCAGGCCTGCCGGCAGCAGCAGCAAAAGGGGGCCTGGTGATTCAAAAGGGCCCAGGGCTACCAGTTGCTGTTACTACATCAGCAGTGGCAGCCGGAGCCCTGAGTCCTATAAACCGGCACTGGAGCACCGTGCCACATGCTCTGGGTGGCTCTGAAGCCTGGGAGTGGGGGGGCACACTGCAGTCTGGGCGGCGCTGAGGGCTGGCTGCCCTGGCCACACCCCTTCCAGCTGAGGCCCCACCCCTTCTGAGAGCATGGAGCAGGTTCCCCACGCATCTTGCCCGGTAGCTCATGGAGGCTGTCGGTGCCCCTAGCTTCAGCCCTGGGCCTCTGCACGTCTAAGCTTGCCCTAGGAACTCCAATGCAATAAAATGGGATTGTTGTGACCCACTATGGGAACTCCTGGCCTATGGTATTCTGCAATAATGGTCCAACTTACTGCCACTTACAGTACTCACACCGCCCTGTGGAGCCATGACTCGACAAAACACCTTGCTGCACAGCCTTTTCCAAAGTGCTTTGCACAGGTGGGTAAGTCGCATTATTGCCACATTACAGATGGGGAAACTGAGGCACAGAATGGCGACCTGACTTGCCTAAGGTCCCGCACAAGAGCAGAGCTGGGAATTAAACTATGGTCCTCTGTGCCCTATCCCTACCTCCCCGCACACAGGCGATTTTTCTCACGGATTGAAAATCTTTCATGGCAACAATTTTCTGTCAGAAAATGCCATTTTGATTAAACCGAGTGTTTGAAAATTTCATTTTTTGAAAACACAGCCCTCCCTGTTTTGAAAGTGCCACAGCAGCCAGTTTTGATCAGTTTGGAATGGAAAGTGTTGATTTTTACTTTGGCAACGTCTTTGTGCCTTGAAATTTGCTTGCGCTTATCTTTAAAAAAACAATACATTCAGAAGGGTCAAAACTGAAACACGTGGTTTCAAAGGTACCGGAGACCAGATGTTTCCCTGACCAGCATGTAAACAACTCACCATGTTGTGTGATGAACATATTTGAGCGGCTGGGCTGATCCAGGATGATTCTTCTGTTTTTTTCAGTATTTCAGTTTTCTTCGCAGAAGCGATGTCTGATTTCTGACAAGTTCGATGAGGTGTCTCAGAGCACAAACAAACAACACGTGGCCCTCTCCTGGCTTATGTAACATGCTGTATTGGAAAACTGAGCATCACCTTCCTGTCCAAAGGCTGGTCTGCTCAAGATAGCAGCCTACTGCTTCTGCTGGATGATGGAGTTACTCCCTTAGCTCAGTTGGTAGAAATCTGGCTTGAGGTTCAAGTCCATCTAATAGCCCAAATCTAGGATCCTGCCCCCTAGTACTTGCCCTCAGCACTGGTACTTCCCCTTACTCCTAGGCTGTGACTGGGGACTAGCTCCCTTGGCAGAGGGGTTTCTTACGCCGGCGTTGCAACGGTTGGGAAGAGGTGGTATGATTTCCCACTAATAGCTCTTTCTGAACACCTCGTCTCAGGCCTCTTTAGCTCAACTCTTTTTATTTTCAAAGCCAACCCTTGCCAACTTTTCTCCACCCCGCACATCAACACAATTCATGGAAGCCTCACGCAAGCCACCCTACCACAACACACCAGCGTGAAAATCTCAACACTCATCAACAACCCGCCGATAAATAAATCGGTGTCTCCAAGTCAGGAGGGGACCCTACACTAAGAAATTGCCAGCAGCCCTCCAACACGGAACCAGATGTTCAATGTGTGTCTTATTGTTGCTACAACAACAAAGCAGGGTGCACAAGGGCAGCAGGAGCGATCAGCGTTCCTGAAGACCGACAGCTTTTGGTGCTGATTGCTAAAAAGAGGTTGCCCAGCTAGGAAAAATATAGCAGCTCTGAGCCCTTTTTAGCAACTCGCTAGACTGCTGCGGATTCAGATCAGCTGCTCATCTAGCTCAGCCACTTTGAGTCTGGTCTCTGGGGGCAGATCTGTGTGTGGCCCGGGGTCTGCACAAGAGCACATGGGATGATCACAGTGGCCCTGTCTGGCCTTTAACGCGTGATCATTGCAGAGGAAAGACACTCCCCTTGGCTCAGACTAAACAGGTCTCCATTAGAGCTGCTTCTGAGCCTGTCCCTGCTCTGAACTGGGCCACGCCCACACCCCGATACGAGACCGGGATGAGAGAATGCCACGTAACGTATTAGCCCACTTCCGGGACGGTGTCTAAAAAGAGGCGCTGGCCTCTTTAAATGGGTCACCCGGAGCAGTGGTGGAAATGCACTCCATTAATATCCTCCCCACGTCACTCCCCCAGCGCCTGGTCTTTATTAATCTGCTCATCCTACTCCCGCAGGCCCTGCAGCTGCCTGTTCTCCCCAGTTCTGGCTGGTCTCTGCACATCATGGACCCACAAGTGTGTGTGTGTGGGGGCGTGTTGTAATAGCACTTAGCCCTGCTGGGGACTCCCTCCTCCTGAGGGTCTCAAGGCCCCTGAGATTGAACCCGCTCGAGAAGGCGGGGAAGGAGTTTCAGTCCCTTCTTACACATGGGGAAACTGAGGCACAGGGCAGAGACGGGCAGGTTTGCAATTGCTGACAATATCCCGCTGGCTTCAACGGCAAAACACCCATTGACCTCGGTGGGAAGGGAGCGAGGTCAGCACTGGGTGCTGCTGGAGAGCCCGCTCCATGCCGCTCACCCAACGTCAGTCAAGGAGACAGCAGCTGAGGCTGGCCTGAGCCTCACGCACCCCAGGGGACACATTCCTGGCACGGGCTGGAGAGTGCCTGGCCGATGCCAAATCATTTCCTAGCTCAGGAGAGGGGCCGGGGCTTAAATGCCACAGGAGGATGCCCCATGGCTGCGCACAAAAAGCCCCAGCTCTGGAGGCAGGCAAATGCCATCAGCCCAAGAAGAGGGACAGGGCAGGGCAGCCTTCGGTTCCCTTCCATGAGTGAAGGGGCCAGGCTGGGCCAGATAGGAGAGAGAATCCAAGAAACTCCCAGGCTCTGTCTGTGTCCAGCAGCCTCCATAAAGAATCCCCATTGGAACCATTCCAGCATTTCCCCTTCCCCAGGGGGAGGCCCAGGCTGTTTGGACTGGGACAGCAAAAAATCCCTCACTCCCCATACAGTCCTCCTGGATTATCCCAGTGTGTCTGGGTCAGGGCTGGTGCATTTGCCAAGTGTAGGGCGGAGAAAGGGATGGCTCACTCCGGCACACGGCCAGGGATGAGCCTTTCGGGTCAGGCCACTGCCCCCTGCTGAAATGTCCCACCAGAATCCACTGCGTTCGGGGCCGGCTTTGGGTGCTCGTGCACTGGCCTGCTGAAATCCCAGCAGCTGGCAGTGCCCTACGCCTAGCTGGCAAACTCCAGCCGCCTTCCTTTGGCTGCAGGGGTCCGCCTGGGAGGATGCCACTGAGGGATCACAGCCCCACCGTGGTCCAAACGTGCCACATGTCAAACTCAGCCCGCCACAGGCCTCCAGAGCAAACACCTCGGTGGCTGGGCACCGGCTGTCTCCCCCTAGGGGTAGGTGGTTGTGAAGGGCAGCGACACCAGGCCTTACTAGCTGACCCATGAGACGGAGCCGTGTTGCCGTGCCTGCGTGTTCATGCACTGCCAGGGCGCTCAGCTGTGTCACACGCAGACACAACCTGGCTCCTGTAGCACTAATGGGCCTGCGGATCCATAGAATCATAGAATCATAGAATCATAGGACTGGAAGGGACCTCGAGAGGTCATCGAGTCCAGCCCCCCGCCCTCAAGGCAGGATCAAGCTCCGTCTACACCATCCCTGACAGATGTCTATCTAACCTGTTCTTAAATATCTCCAGAGAGGGAGATTCCACCACCTCCCTTGGCAATTTATTCCAATATTTGACCACCCTGACAGTTAGGAATTTTTTCCTAATGTCCAATCTAAACCTCCCCTGCTGCACTTTAAGCCCATTACTCCTTGTCCTGTCCTCAGAAACCAAGAGGAACAAATTTTCTCCTTCCTCCTTGTGACACCCTTTTAGATATTTGAAAGCCGCTATCATGTCCCCCCTTAATCTTCTTTTTTCCAAGCTAAACAAGCCCAGTTCATGAAGCCTGGCTTCATAGGTCATGTTCTCTAAACCTTTAATCATTCTTGTCGCTCTTCTCTGTACCCTTTCCAATTTCTCCACATCTTTCTTGAAATGTGGCGCCCAGAACTGGACACAGTACTCCATAACCACCTGCCCCCCACTCCTGCCCCACGAGGGGTGCCAGTTGTCCAGTTTTCACCCAAACAGTCCGTTATTCGAGTCTCCTGTCCAGTAAAAAAACCAGAAAACACCGGACATGTGACATGTCCAGTATTTCCTGTTTCCCTCGGACAGAAACCCAGTGGGAAAAATTTTCCTCTGCTGTGCCTGGCGGAGGAGTGAGGAGCGTGGGGCCATTTAAAGGTGCAGTACCTTTTTTTTTTTTTTTTGGTCAAAAAAAAAATTTTTTTTCCTTGGATTTTTTTTTTTTTTTTTTTAACCCATCTGGCAACCCTATGTCTAGCCCATCCCTCGGTATCAGCACACGTTTCAGGGCCCTAGCCAAGAAAGAAACCCCACGGTGTGAGGTTTGATACAGGAATCTCTGGGTAACGGAGCTCAGGCTGGACTAGATGAACATCACAGGCCCTTCTGTCTTTGGATTCTAGACTTGGGGTTCCACACCTATCGCTGACTCTGATGCCCCTCCGCTGCAGTGGGCAAGTGGCTGTGCCTCAGTTTACCATCTGTGAAATGGGAGTAATAGTTTCCTACCTGGAGAGGCGGCTTGGAAGCTAATAACCGAATGAATGTTAGAAATTGCCAGCAACTTGGGGCCAGGGTTCCACTGTATGTTTGTACAGCATCCGGCATAATAGGGGCCCAGACTTGCTGAGCCCTCTAGCTGCTACCTACGAAGGCTAAGAACAGACAGCACCTTTTGTGCAAAGCTCCCAAAGTGCTTTTCCAAGCAGGGTAAAGACACTCCCTGTCACTGTGACAGGTGGGGAAACTGAGGCACAGAGCCATTAAGCAGCTAATGCCAGATTACACAAAAGAGCTGTGTGAGAGGCAGGGCTAGAACCCAGCCCTCCTGCGTATCAGGAACCCACCCTTCACCTTGCTAAAGCCAGGGCTAGGCGAGACTTTCATAACTTGGCCTCACACAGCCTCAAAGGGTCAAGCGAATCCAGGGCTTGGGCTGGGGCCAGTGAAAGATCCAGCAAAGTCCGCAAGCTCTGGTCCGGTCCCCGGCCAGTCTAGCTCGTCAGCTGGCTACTGACATTCTACAGAGGGACTGTAGCAGCTTTCCAAGAGCTGCCAGGCCAGAGATGGGCAGGCATGGGTGGTGAATGAACTTAAGGCTGGGAGAGGCAAGGGTGTCGGTGCTTAAAGCAGCCACTCCAGTCACTGCGCTGGAATTGGCCCAGGGATCAGACTGGCCCCGGGTCGCTGGTGTGGGCCCCCCAGGGACCGCCTGGCATTCAGAACCGGCTCTAGCAACCAGCAGGTCCTGGGACCACATTGCGACATGTAAACAAACCCCATGACCGGGAACAGAGGAACCCAAACAATGGGCATCGCCGTGTGTCAGGCGCGGAGAGCCGGCAGTGACCCGGCGTGCTGACAATGGGCCGATTGTGTCCTCCAGCTGGGGATCGGGCTGAGTTTGGAGCCGTGGCAGAGTCGCTGGGCAGCCAGCTGAGCCCCCTTGAATTCCCCACACAAGCTCTTGCCAGCTACATGGTGGGTCCAGGGCCCCATGGGGACAACGTTTCCCCTTTAATATGGAGCTATGGCCAAGAGGTGGCCGGGCCCTGCTGGGATCATAAGGGAACCATGAGGGCTGGGAGCTGCATCTATAGAACCCACCTGCTAGCAAGGACGGCAGGTATCACAGGCCAAGGGAGGCTAAGTCTCGCTGAGCAGCCAGGGGTGGCATGGCCCGGCCCACACCAGCCTCCAGTGGGGAGGGGGGGGGGCTCAGGGGGGGGCTGGTGGCTCCGGGACTGGGGGTGATGGGGCGGGTTGCACCACCCGGCACTCCGGGACTGGGGGTGATGGGGCGGGTTGCACCACCCGGCACTCCGGGACTGGGGGTGATGGGGCGGGTTGCACCACCCGGCACTCCGGGACTGGGGGTGATGGGGCGGGTTGCACCACCCGGCACTCCGGGACTGGGGATGATGGGGCGGGTTGCACCACCTTGCACTCTGGGACTGGGGGTGATGGGGCGGGTTGCGCCACTCGGCACTCTAGGACTGGGTGTGATGGGGCGGGTTGCACCACCTTGCACTCTGGGGCACTCCGGGACTGAGGGCGATGGGGCAGGTCGTGCCACCTGGCACTCTGGGACTGGGGGTGATGGGGCAGGTCGTGCCACCTGGCACTCTGGGACTGGGGGGGGTGGGGCGGGTTTCGACTGGGGGTGATGGGGCGGGTTGCACCACCCGGCACTCCGGGACTGGGGGTGATGGGGCGGGTTGCACCACCCGGCACTCCGGGACTGGGGGTGATGGGGCGGGTTGCACCACCCGGCACTCCGGGACTGGGGGTGATGGGGCGGGTTGCACCACCCGGCACTCCGGGACTGGGGGTGATGGGGCGGGTTGCACCACCCGGCACTCCGGGACTGGGGGTGATGGGGCGGGTTGCACCACCCGGCACTCCGGGACTGGGGGTGATGGGGCGGGTTGCACCACCCGGCACTCCGGGACTGGGGGTGATGGGGCGGGTTGCACCACCCGGCACTCCGGGACTGGGGGTGATGGGGCGGGTTGCACCACCCGGCACTCCGGGACTGGGGGTGATGGGGCGGGTTGCACCACCCGGCACTCTGGGACTGGGGGTGATGGGGCAGGTGATGCCATCTGGCACTCTGGGACTGGGGGTGATGGGGCGGGTTGCACCACCCGGCACTCCGGGACTGGGGGTGATGGGGCGGGTTGCACCACCTGGCACTCCGGGACTGAGGGCGATGGGGCAGGTCGTGCCACCTGGCACTCTGGGACTGGGGGTGATGGGGCGGGTTGCGCCACCCGGCACTCTGGGACTGGGGGTGATGGGGCGGGTTGCGCCACTCGGCACTCTGGGACTGGGGATGATGGGGCGGGTTGCACCACCTTGCACTCTGGGACTGGGGGTGATGGGGCGGGTTGCACCACCCGGCACTCCGGGACTGGGGGTGATGGGGCGGGTTGCGCCACTCGGCACTCTAGGACTGGGTGTGATGGGGCGGGTTGCACCACCTTGCACTCTGGGACTGGGGGTGATGGGGAGGACCAGCCAGGGTGGCCTGGGGCTGGAGCCAGGGGGCCAGTGGCTGTGACGGGGACCTTGGGGCTCCAGCGGGGGAGTGGGGAGGATTATGGCCTTGAGCAGAAGGGGCGTGGCGAGGGTCTAGCCTCCCCGAACCGGCAGTTCCCGTGCCGCCCATGCCTCCAGCTGTTCCCTGGGGAAGCAGCAGAGCCCAAGTGGAGCTGCCCCAGCCAATCTCCAGAAGCCCCACAGCCTCCTTGCTATGGAGCTGGGGCTAAGTGAAGGGGAGGGGGGCTGTGCAGCATGTGGGAGAGGGAGTGTGGACTCCTGTCTTACTCCCCAGAGCCTCCCATCGCCCAGAGCGGCTGGGCCACAGGGGAAAGGGGCTAGCGGCAGGGAGCGGTTTGGGCTGGTGTCTGAGCTCCCTGCTGGACTGAATCCTGCTGCTATTAAACCCTAGGCCGGCTCCAGAGGCCGGGGCCATTAACCCATCAGTCCCCGCCGCTCCTGGGCACCACGCTAAGCCACACGCTGGGGCCGCGGAGACGTCACAGTTCCCAGCCCTGGCGCCTCCTCGCCCAGGCTGCTGCCTTTGCAGCGAAGAGGGAATTTCCCCCGGCAGATCCCACGGTGGGGGCTCCCGCCAAATGCCGGATGGGCTCCGACACGCCGGACAGCCCTGCCACGCGGACGTGGCCTGGCCACCTTTCCTGCAACCCCTCCCCTCCGCCCCAAAGCCGGGGCCACGGGCCAGCCCTTGTGACGGCCTGAGCGACGCCAACGCCTTAAACGAGTCCTCACAGGCCAAGTGGAAGACTGTCCATCTCAGCGCTGCCACCCAAGCCCCCCGTGGAACATCTTCTCTGGATGGAGGCTAAGGGCCGGGACAGCAGGAGGGCTACAGGTCAGGAGTGAGGGGCATGGGCAGGGCTGAGGGGAGCCCAGGGCCGGGCTGGGGGGCAGGTCAGGAGTGAGGGGCATGGGCAGGGCTGAGGGGAGCCCAGGGCCGGGCTGGGGGGCAGGTCAGGAGTGAGGGGCATGGGCAGGGCTGAGGGGAGCCCAGGGCCGGGCTGGGGGGCAGGTCAGGAGTGAGGGGCATGGGCAGGGCTGAGGGGAGCCCAGGGCCGGGCTGGGGGGCAGGTCAGGAGTGAGGGGCATGGGCAGGGCTGAGGGGAGCCCAGGGCCGGGCTGGGGGGCAGGTCAGGAGTGAGGGGCATGGGCAGGGCTGAGGGGAGCCCAGGGCCGGGCTGGGGGGCAGGTCAGGAGTGAGGGGCATGGGCAGGGCTGAGGGGAGCCCAGGGCCGGGCTGGGGGGCAGGTCAGGAGTGAGGGGCATGGGCAGGGCTGAGGGGAGCCCAGGGCCGGGCTGGGGGGCAGGTCAGGAGTGAGGGGCATGGGCAGGGCTGAGGGGAGCCCAGGGCCGGGCTGGGGGGCAGGTCAGGAGTGAGGGGCATGGGCAGGGCTGAGGGGAGCCCAGGGCCGGGCTGGGGGGCAGGTCAGGAGTGAGGGGCATGGGCAGGGCTGAGGGGAGCCCAGGGCCGGGCTGGGGGGCAGGTCAGGAGTGAGGGGCATGGGCAGGGCTGAGGGGAGCCCAGGGCCGGGCTGGGGGGCAGGTCAGGAGTGAGGGGCATGGGCAGGGCTGAGGGGAGCCCAGGGCCGGGCTGGGGGGCAGGTCAGGAGTGAGGGGCATGGGCAGGGCTGAGGGGAGCCCAGGGCCGGGCTGGGGGGCAGGTCAGGAGTGAGGGGCATGGGCAGGGCTGAGGGGAGCCCAGGGCCGGGCTGGGGGGCAGGTCAGGAGTGAGGGGCATGGGCAGGGCTGAGGGGAGCCCAGGGCCGGGCTGGGGGGCAGGTCAGGAGTGAGGGGCATGGGCAGGGCTGAGGGGAGCCCAGGGCCGGGCTGGGGGGCAGGTCAGGAGTGAGGGGCATGGGCAGGGCTGAGGGGAGCCCAGGGCCGGGCTGGGGGGCAGGTCAGGAGTGAGGGGCATGGGCAGGGCTGAGGGGAGCCCAGGGCCGGGCTGGGGGGCAGGTCAGGAGTGAGGGGCATGGGCAGGGCTGAGGGGAGCCCAGGGCCGGGCTGGGGGGCAGGTCAGGAGTGAGGGGCATGGGCAGGGCTGAGGGGAGCCCAGGGCCGGGCTGGGGGGCAGGTCAGGAGTGAGGGGCATGGGCAGGGCTGAGGGGAGCCCAGGGCCGGGCTGGGGGGCAGGTCAGGAGTGAGGGGCATGGGCAGGGCTGAGGGGAGCCCAGGGCCGGGCTGGGGGGCAGGTCAGGAGTGAGGGGCATGGGCAGGGCTGAGGGGAGCCCAGGGCCGGGCTGGGGGGCAGGTCAGGAGTGAGGGGCATGGGCAGGGCTGAGGGGAGCCCAGGGCCGGGCTGGGGGGCAGGTCAGGAGTGAGGGGCATGGGCAGGGCTGAGGGGAGCCCAGGGCCGGGCTGGGGGGCAGGTCAGGAGTGAGGGGCATGGGCAGGGCTGAGGGGAGCCCAGGGCCGGGCTGGGGGGCAGGTCAGGAGTGAGGGGCATGGGCAGGGCTGTGGGGAGCCCAGAGCTGGGATGTGAGGGGAGGTCAGGAGTGAGGGGCATGGGCAGGGCTGTGGGGAGCCCAGGGCCGGGATGGGGGGCAGGTCAGGAGTGAGGGGCATGGGCAGGGCTGTGGGGAGCCCAGGGCCGGGATGGGGGGCAGGTCAGGAGTGAGGGGCATGGGCAGGGCTGTGGGGAGCCCAGGGCCGGGATGGGGGGCAGGTCAGGAGTGAGGGGCATGGGCAGGGCTGTGGGGAGCCCAGGGCCGGGATGGGGGGCAGGTCAGGAGTGAGGGGCATGGGCAGGGCTGTGGGGAGCCCAGGGCCGGGATGGGGGGCAGGTCAGGAGTGAGGGGCATGGGCAGGGCTGTGGGGAGCCCAGGGCCGGGATGGGGGGCAGGTCAGGAGTGAGGGGCATGGGCAGGGCTGTGGGGAGCCCAGGGCCGGGATGGGGGGCAGGTCAGGAGTGAGGGGCATGGGCAGGGCTGTGGGGAGCCCAGGGCCGGGATGGGGGGCAGGTCAGGAGTGAGGGGCATGGGCAGGGCTGTGGGGAGCCCAGGGCCGGGATGGGGGGCAGGTCAGGAGTGAGGGGCATGGGCAGGGCTGTGGGGAGCCCAGGGCCGGGATGGGGGGCAGGTCAGGAGTGAGGGGCATGGGCAGGGCTGTGGGGAGCCCAGGGCCGGGATGGGGGGCAGGTCAGGAGTGAGGGGCATGGGCAGGGCTGTGGGGAGCCCAGGGCCGGGATGGGGGGCAGGTCAGGAGTGAGGGGCATGGGCAGGGCTGTGGGGAGCCCAGGGCCGGGATGGGGGGCAGGTCAGGAGTGAGGGGCATGGGCAGGGCTGTGGGGAGCCCAGGGCCGGGATGGGGGGCAGGTCAGGAGTGAGGGGCATGGGCAGGGCTGTGGGGAGCCCAGGGCCGGGATGGGGGGCAGGTCAGGAGTGAGGGGCATGGGCAGGGCTGTGGGGAGCCCAGGGCCGGGATGGGGGGCAGGTCAGGAGTGAGGGGCATGGGCAGGGCTGTGGGGAGCCCAGGGCCGGGATGGGGGGCAGGTCAGGAGTGAGGGGCATGGGCAGGGCTGTGGGGAGCCCAGGGCCGGGATGGGGGGCAGGTCAGGAGTGAGGGGCATGGGCAGGGCTGTGGGGAGCCCAGGGCCGGGATGGGGGGCAGGTCAGGAGTGAGGGGCATGGGCAGGGCTGTGGGGAGCCCAGGGCCGGGATGGGGGGCAGGTCAGGAGTGAGGGGCATGGGCAGGGCTGTGGGGAGCCCAGGGCCGGGATGGGGGGCAGGTCAGGAGTGAGGGGCATGGGCAGGGCTGTGGGGAGCCCAGGGCCGGGATGGGGGGCAGGTCAGGAGTGAGGGGCATGGGCAGGGCTGTGGGGAGCCCAGGGCCGGGATGGGGGGCAGGTCAGGAGTGAGGGGCATGGGCAGGGCTGTGGGGAGCCCAGGGCCGGGATGGGGGGCAGGTCAGGAGTGAGGGGCATGGGCAGGGCTGTGGGGAGCCCAGGGCCGGGATGGGGGGCAGGTCAGGAGTGAGGGGCATGGGCAGGGCTGTGGGGAGCCCAGGGCCGGGATGGGGGGCAGGTCAGGAGTGAGGGGCATGGGCAGGGCTGTGGGGAGCCCAGGGCCGGGATGGGGGGCAAGCTCATCCGGGCTGAACAATGAGGCGCTGGTGCTCCTGGTGGGGAGGGCGTGATCTGCCCGCACAGCCCTCGCCCAGGCCTGGGCCCCCTTGCCCAGGCCCT